AAAAAAAAAAAAAAAAAAAGGAAAGCTTTCAGGTTGGCGTGGCAAAGAAAGCGCTAAGATTAAATTCTTCATTCCGATCTTTGCCTTTAACTGTGTGCCTTCAGATAAGTAAATTCCTTTCGCGGGTGGGTTTTATTTTCCCGTGATGTCAAACGTGGAGCGTAAGAAGAAATGAATCAATGTCTAACTCCGTGCATAAAGACTACTTAGGGTACTGACGTGCGTCCCACCCTCGCGTTCCCTTCGAGCCCAGCCTGCCCACTCTAGACCCCAGGAAGCCCCCGGGCACCAACGCCGGGACTCCGGCCTCCAGCAAAACCGTTGGACGTTAACGTCCCTCCACCCCTGCAGTCGGCTGGGTGAGGGCTGCAGCTTCCGGCGGCGAATGGCGAGGCGGCGCGTGGCGCTTCCCGCCCACCGTGGCTCCGGCCTACTCCAGCCCCTCTCCCTGCCACTGAGGGGCTTCTCACTTGAGCAATGCATGCTGGGAAGCCCCGAAAAGTCTCCGGAATGCGGAGGACAGCTCAGAGTGGGGGAGGGGGAGACAGACTCATTTATGGAATCACTGCGCACAACTTTTATGGCGATTGGCCAAATATTTACTCTCGAAGCCAATCATTTTAAGGACAAGGGTGGGCTAGTCAACACCTCTCACATTCATTGGCTAGAAGGTCGCGGCGTTTGAGAAGAGTTTAAACCAAGAACATCCGGGATTATTTTCCCTCCCCGCCGTGCGGTGCGTGTCCCGGAAGTGACGCACGACCCTTGCCGGGCGGCCGCCCTGCCCCCGCTTCCTTTCAAGCTGTTGCTGCCCGTAGGTAGCTGTGGCCACCGTGCTCCGAGGGAGGTGGCGGCGGCCAGTAATGCCTGGGAAACTCCTCTGGGGAGACATTATGGAGCTGGAAGCACCCTTGGAAGAGTCTGAGAGCCCGAGGAAGGAGCGGCAAAAGGTGCGCTGAGGTTGGGCCGCGCCTCCTTTTGGGCTGCGCCGGCTTGGGCAGGGAGGGGAACTGGCTCTGATAGTGGCTTGTCAGGACCCGGCCAGCGTCCGAGGGGCTCCCCATCGCGCCATCCTCGGCCTCTGAGGTCGCTCCGAGACCCTTCCCACCGCCACGCTTCCGACCCGGAGAAGGACGGCCCTGGGAGTCGGCCCGACCTCTCCTGGCTCTCCATCCTCACGTTGGCGCCTCAGTCTCTGCTAAGGGATGGGCAAGCTAAAGCGCCCATCGCCGCCAAATCTGTTCGTTTTCCTTAAGCAGCAAAGCCTGTCATTTGATTCCTCTGAGGCCGTTTTAGGAGATGATTAAGAAAAATGATTGCCTTATGTATGTATGTGTTGCTTCTGTGTCACCTTGTCTTCTGTGTAAGAATCTTAGGGAAAGAAATCTTAGCCTTACAAATCTCAAGTAGTTTATAGAGGCTTAAGGAGTAGTGTCACAGCCAGCGTTGCCAGGATTTGTCTGTGATGGAGATCGTGTGGGTTGTATTATTAGTTATTACCGTCAGTATTTTCAATCCACAGGTATTCGTCGAGCCTAATTTGTACCTCATTCTTTGCTGAGTACCGAGGAGTTCAAACTATTTAAATATGAGAAATGGTCCCTGTCCTCACAGAGCCTGCGGCAGTTTTAGAGACCCCCCCCTCCCCCGTCCTCCTTCAAAAAAAAAAAAAAAGAAATCTCAAAGCGGAGAATCACAGAGAAAACAGCTGAGGAGGGTAAAGTAGTAGTATTCGAGGACTGACATTGGGCAAAAATAAAATAAGATTTATTCTGTATACTATTTGAGAACAAAAAATGTCCTCCAAACGTTAAGGTAAACTTGCCATTCCAGCCAACCAGTTTTTTGTTTTTTTTTTTTTTAGACAGGTCTTGCTGTATAGTTCAGGCTGGCCTTGAACTCTTGGCGATCCTCCTGCCTCAGCCTTCCTTACTGGCCTGGGCCACCATGCCCGACAGTTTTCTTTTATTGTGGTAAAATATACAAAACTTAAAATTTACATTTTAGTGGCGGGGATTTAGCTCAGTGGCACCTCATCTGCCTTGCAAAGGTCCTGAGTTCAATCCCCGGTACCCCCCCCCCAAATTTACATTTTAGCCATTTCAAAGCATGTAGGTTAGTGGTGTTATGTGTACTCACACACACACACACACACACACACACATGCAGACACGCACACACCATCCATCTCTGTAACTTTCTCATCTTCTCATTCTGAAAGTTTGCCATTAAACACTAATCCCCATTCTTTTGTCTCAGCTCCAGCAACCACTATTCTTCTGTACCTGTGAATTTGATTACTATAGGTAATTTAGAGTAGACTATAAAGAGAATCCCCAGGCAGTTATTTTAATTTTAGCTCCTCTTGGAGTGCTTATTTTTTATTTTGTTTTCCTGTGCTGAAACCCAGGACCTTCTTTGTGCTAGGCAAGTGCTATAGAACTGAGTTATATATACCACCAGCCCTGTATTTCATTTTGGTTCAGGGTCCTTTAAAATTACCTCGCGTGGCCTCAGATTTGTAATTCTCCTGCTTCAGCTTTTAGAGTAGCTGGGATTAAAGGCAAATACCTCCACATCTGACTTTTCTTTTGTATCCAAGTGCTGTAACTGCCAAGATCTAGCTTGTCTTTTCTAACCATGCCAGGGTACAGTAATCTTACCCCTGTTTAAGTCTTGTCCTAGAGCTATCTATTCCATTGGCATCTAATATGTGGGTCCTTTTAAAGTTTGCTTATTTTTTCCTTTGTGTATTTTTCCTAAATATTTCTCAAATATTCTTTAGAAAAGTAAATGATTGTATCATTGTCTATCCCTTCATTTTCTATATTCTTCTGAGTTAGTGACTTTCACATTGTAAATTCTCCAGAAACATTTTGATTGTTCTTTATGAAAGATAGCTAGTGTTTTAGAAATGGATTGGAATACCAGTAGAAATTGAGCATTAGTCTAGGTGTGTCATTGAGATGAAGGTAAATCTGATTTGGATATGTTGACCTATAGAGCGGAGATAAGGCTCTTCCAACTGGAATGCAGATAAATTCTGGAGTTGAGGGTTGAAGTCATGAAAATGGTCTAACAGTGCACTCAGAACAGATTTAAGGAACATCTACATAAAGGGAAGGGAGAGGAACCATTGAAGATGCTGTGATAGAGGAAAGAGGATAAGAGGGGCATACAGAGTACAGTGGAAATAAAAGAAATAGAGGGTGTCAAACTCGGTAGGTCTGATATGAAATGATGCATTTCATTACCTTGGGTCTTTCTGGGGATTGGCCTTGTTTCATCTTCTTGAAGTGCAGGGCCCAGGAACACATCAACCCCAGGACTGATTCTGTAAATAATCTTGTTTTTCTGTAGAGCTTACTGGTTTGGGGAGATGTGGGGTGGTGCAGTTAACTAGAGATCAAATGATATAATATGTAACTGCAGAGCATTTTCACACATACTGTGTCACTCATTTCTTAGACAAATATTTTATGGAAAGTTTTATGTTGAAGCACTATAAACATGTAAGTCACAGTGAAATTTTTATCACTAATAACTACTGTGTCACTGATTTATTTTGAAAATTCAACCAAGTAATTCTGAAGAATTGTTGAATTTGCAAATCATTTCTTGGGGTCTGCAAATATGAAAACCTTGCTAGTAGTTTGACATTTTTAAACTGAAGTTGCAGGGCTGGGGATTTAGCTCAGTGTTTCCACCACCTACCTCGCAAGCACAAGGTTCTGAGTTTAATCCCTGGTACCAAAAACAAAAAACAAAAACAAGTTGCAGAATTATACCTTTTTTGGGGGATGTGTTTTAAAGTTCTATTAACTAAGTGAGAAAATTTAATTTCCAGAATTACTGTTCTTTCATGGAAATAACAGCAGTTGGAGTTTCATGTAGTTTTTTCTTTAACCTGTTAACTGTCAAAGGTTAGGAAGGAAGCGCGATGTGACAGGGTAGGTTTTTAGTTAGATTTGCAGCACTATTTTGTACAGGAAATCCCACATGAGGATCTTTGTCTATAATACTTAATCTCTAAGAGCTTTGTTTCTGCTGGGTGTGGTGGCGCACGCCTGTAATCCCAGCCCTGGGCAAGCTGTGGCAGGAGGATCACTGTGGGTTTGAGGCCAATTGAGGCTACATAGTGAGTTCAAGGCCAGCCTGACACATAATAAGATCCCGTCTGAAAAAAAAGCAAAACAAAACGAAGATTCTGTTTCTTCTTCTGTAAAATAGCAGAAGTAGAGTTGGGGATTGAGCTCAGTGGCACCAAGCCTGCCTTGCAAGTGCAAAGTCCTGAGTTTGATCCCCAGTACCAAAAAAGAAAAGAAAAAAATGGCAGAGGTAATACAGGTTCATATCCCTTATCCAAAATCCCTGGAACTCAGGTATGTTTTAAATTAAGAATTCTGTGGATCTACTGAAAGGTGACACCCCAGCAGGATTTGGGACCTGCAGCCAGTAATCAAACACCTCTATGTTAAATATAAATACTTGATACTAAGTGGGATAAAGACTGTAAGAAGCCTTATATTAATGCTAGTCAAATTTTGCCATCAGATGAGTTCAGATCAGGTATGGTTTTGCCTTCAAATAAATTATAAAAAAAACTTTCGGTTTTCAGAGCTTTATGGATATCGGAATTTCGGATAAGGGATTATGGACCTGTACTTCCCTTATAGGGTTGCTATGAAGATATAAACAAGATAAGCCGAAAACACATTACATAATCCTGGGTAGGTACTAAATAAGTATTAATTTTTTCTCTTGGAGATATTAGAAGTTCTTGTTTGTATTTTAATTTGTAATTTTGACATTCTCATTCTTTTCCTGAGAAGGAGCTAATTTAATTTCCCTAAAATCTTATGGGATTAGAGATGGACTAGAGACTGAGTCTTGAGAATAGAAGAGATGGCATGACAGTTAAAGTAACAGGTAAGGCTTAGCGCTTGGCATTAATTACTAGTTTGGATTTCTGCCAGGTAGATTTTCAGTGTAACTGTAGATTGAGCTTAACTGGTTGGGAGTCATGTTCTAATCTCTAAAGCCTAAAAGCAGACCTGCGATCCTTTTGTCCTTGTTTCTTTGTCCACAGAGTGATGGAAGGAAGTCAAGGCACCATCATGACTCAGATGAGAAAACAGAAACAAGAGAAAATGGTGTTACAGATGACCTGGATGCTCCCAAGCGCAAAAAATCTAAAATAAAAGTGAAGCTAAATGGAGACACTGAAGAAGGGTTCAGTAGACTTTCAGATGAATTTTCCACATCTCATAAGTCAAGAAGAAAAGATCTGCCAAATGGAGATATTGATGAATGTGAAAAGAAATCGAAACGAGCATCATCCTTAGAAAGTTCTGCTCATAAATCAAGTGATAATAAACTAGAGGAGGTATGGATACTCTTTATTTTGCATTTGACATTATCTGAAATATAGGCTGGTTTGATGTTTTAGGCTAGTTAGAATTGATTTATACTGTTTTCACCTTAAGGATCCAATGGTTTTATTTGTTTGTTTGTTTGTTTGTTTTTGGTGCCAGAGATTGAACTCAGGATTTTGCACTTGCTAAGCAGGCGGTGGAACCACTGAGCTAGATCCCTGGCCTCTAATGGTTTTATTTGGATTAGAGTCTATACAACTGAAATCTGAGCTTTTTTTCCCTTTGGCTCTTGTTTCTTATTGCCTTTTTCTTGGGGTGAAATTGGGAGAATGCTCAAACTGGAACTTTTTCTGTACCGTGGGTTTTCCTAAACAGTTTTTCCAAATTACTTTTTTTTTTTTTCTTTTTGGTACCGGGGATTGAACTCGGGTCCTTGCACTTGCGAGGCAGGCCACCGAACCGTTGGGCTAAATCCCCAGCCTCAAATTACTTTTTGGTGGTTACCTACACGCATGTCTTCTTAGGGAATGGCAGGGTAACTGGGGATTGAACCTAGGGCCTTTATACTGAGCTTCAGCTCCAGCCCTTTTTATATTTTTATTTTGATACAGGGTCTCTCTCTTAGTCACTAAATTGTCTAGGTTAGGCTCAAACTTGCTATCCTCCTCTCTTGGCTCCTGTGTAGCTGAAATTACATATCTGTGCCACTGCATGTTACTACCTACTTGGATTTCTTATTGTTCTTCAGTCCCTACCAGTGATTGTGAATTGACCTCTAATTTCCTGCTGTAAGATACAGAAGCCTCTTGAGTGTGTGTGTGTGTGTCTTTATCTATATGTATTTGTTTTGTTTTCTTTGTTTGTTTGTTTTTTGTTTCTTGAGACAGGGTCTCACTATGTAGTTAAGACTGACCTGGAACTCACTGTGTAGCCCAGGCTGGTCTCAAACTCACAGCGATCCTCCTGCCTCAGCCTCCCGAGTGCTGGGATTACAGGCGTGCACCACCATACCGGGCTTGAGTATGTGTATATTGTTCCCTGCTTTTTCTGTTTCTGTAATAGCAATATTAGATGATAATTAGATTTTACTCTAATTCAGTCTTAAAGCTGTTTGCATTTTTAAAACAAGAATGAAACATAAGACCTGAAGAAATCTGTTTTTGTGTTTGTTTGAGACAGGGTCTCACTATGCAGTTCAGGCTGGCCTAGAACTCATTGTGTAGCCCAGGCTGGTTTTGAACTCACACTGGCCTTGAACTCATGGTGATCCTCCTGCCTCAGTATCCCAAGGACTAGGATTACATTCATGTGTCACTATGCCTGGTTTACAGATTGTTCCTTGAGCTATTGGGATTTTTCCTGGTATAATGCTCTGTATTATAGTATTATAGAACTGTTCATTATTTTGTTTAGAAAACTAAGATTTGGGGAACTTCTGCTTTTAGTAATTTCTTCTTTTTTTTGAGACAGGGTCTTACTATGTAATTGAGACTCACCTGGAACTCACTATGGAGCCCAGGCTGGTCTTGAACTCACAGCGATCCTCCTGCCTCAGCCTCCCGAGTGCTGGGATTAGAGGCGTGAGCCACCATGCCCAGCTTTTAGGAATTTATTCTAATGAGATAAATATGACATGTACAGAGCTATATAAATAACTCTTAACACACTGATATCAATAATAGCAACATATGTTAAGTGTCCTATAATAAGCAGATGGTTCACTTTTATCCTGTGTCTATGCAATAGAATACAACTATTACAAAGGGCATACAAGAATATTAGAAGCTGGGCATGGTGGTACACACCTATAATTCCAGAATTGAGAGGATGAGGCTGGAGGATTGTCTTGAGTTTAAGGCCAGCATGGGCTACACAGAAAGCTCAGAGCCAGCCTGTAGTACATAGAGACCTTGTCTTAATGAAAGAAAAGAATATTAGAGGGGGAAAAAAAGCAGGTGTAGAGTTATGGTTTGTATATAGATGTCCCCCCTAAGCCTCATGCAGGCAGAGGGGTTTTTCAGAGGTGGCTGAATCTGGAGTGTGTGATGTTAGGATTAAGGGCATGTGATTACTAAATGAGTAGACTGATTTGTTTGGTACCTGCATAATCCTCAGTAGCCTGAAAAAGATAAAAGGGGCAGAAAGATGCTGTTACAGTTCCTTTGTTGCTTTTGCTACTGTGCATGTGCACCATGAACTGTTTCTCCTCTGCAAGCCCTCTTTTCCACGCCACCCTGCATTGAGGCCAGCTAATTATGGACTGAAACCTCTACAAACTGTGAACTAAATAAACCTTTCCTCTCTTAAAACAAAAAAAACGAGAGAATATTAGAGGGCTGGGATGTAGCTTAGTAGTGCCACACTCGCCTGGCAAGTGCAAGGTTCTGAGTTTGATCCCTGGTACTGAAAAAACAAGAATATTAGAAAGATACCCAGTGTATTTTGTTAAGGTAAAAATAAAAGATTATGAAATAATATATTTTTATTTAAAAATATTTACATGTGCATAGAATGAAGATTAGAGTGGGTTTCACATAGGTTTTAGCTGAGTGGATTATAGATTATTTTAAAATTTACAGTATTTCTAATATCTGGAGTCTAGAATTGTATAATTAAATGGTAATGTTTGTAATTTTTTTAGCCTTAGAAAGACAACAGGGTGTGGCAGCACACACCAGTAATCCTGGCACACTGGAGACTGAGGCAGGAGGATCACCATCAGTTGAAGCCAGCCTGAGCTCCATATTAAGTTCAGGGTCAGCCTAAGCTACATAATGAGTCCTTGACCCCAAAAAAGATAACAACACTAAAATTGGTTTAAATGGCTTAAATTTTAGAATTTGATATTCTTTTATTTGGCACCTGGTTTGAAAAGGCTATTGTGTGTGGTTATGTAAATTCTTTAACACAGAAGTAATAAAGCTTACTGTGTAGACAGATACACATTAACTGAAACAAAGAGTATTCAATAGATTTTTTATTTTTTTATTTTTTTTTGTAGTTAAAGGCAAAAGATTTATTCGATCCGAAGAGAAACCAGAGTATTATCTTAATGCTAACTAACCTCAATATATTTTTGGGTCTCACTATGTAGTTCAGGCTAGTCTTGAACTCACTATGTAGCCCATACTGGCTCAAACTCAAGGTTAAAAATCCTACTGCCTTGGCCTCAGAGTACCAGGATTTCAAGCATGTACCACCATTCCTGGCTAACCTGAATGCATGTTTTAAAAAAATGTAAAGCCAGACATAGTATCACATGCCTCTAATCCCAGTACTCTAGAAGGCTGAGAAAGGAGAATTTCAAGTTCAGGCCCAGCCTGCACAATTTAGTAACTTAGCAAGACTCTCAAAATAAAAATTTTAAAAAGGGCTGGGATATAACTCAGTGTGAAAGCCTGAGTACTGGGGGAAAAAACGGTAACCATACAAAATTTTTCCCTGTATTAATGATCTTAAAAAAAGCTTTTTTTTTCTTTCTTTCTTCATTCATTCATTCATTCATTTATTTATTCATTCATTCATTTTTGGTACCAGGCATCGAACTTAGGCTCTTGAGCTTGCAAGGCAGGCAGCAGAACCACTGAGCTAAATCCCTGGCCCCAGGATTTGGCTCAGTGCTTTTGCTGCCTGCCTCACAAGTTCAATCCCCAGTACAAAAAAAAAAAAAAACTTTTTAAAACCATAGAACATTTTTTTGCGGGGGGGCGTACCAGGGATTGAACTTGGGTCCTTGCGCTTATGAAGCAGACAGTGGAACCACTGACCTAAATCTGGCCCAATAGAACATATTTTTAACTATTTTTTTTAAAGGAAGTTTACTTTCCCATTGTGTAATTTCTTCTAGCCTAGTTTATAGGCTTGTATTAATCTTTATAATTGATGCTCTCTATATTTGTAAAATGATTTAGATTATTAAGTTTATTATAATACCTTAGTTAAATGAGAAAAAAATTTCTGGCAGTACTGGGGATCAAATCCCAGGGTGCTTAACCACTGAGCTACATCCCCACCTTTTTTTTTCCCCAGAGTCTGGCTATGTCACTGAGTTGCCCAGACTGGGCTCAAACTTGTGATCATCCTGCCTCAGTCTCAGTGCTGAGATTATAAAAGTGTGTAGCACCACGCTGGGCTAGAAGTATGTAAGTTTGGTTTTTAAAGAAATATGTTTGAGATTAATAGAATTCCTACTAATTTTTTCTTTTAAGTTGATCCGTATAGTTTTTTGCAAGAACTAACTACAGTTGATTAGTAAAGTTAAAAATGTTAAATGAGTAAAAGTCAAACATAAATACATTCTTTAAAACTTCTGTTTCCTTTTGACAGACTCTAACACGTGAACAAAAAGAGGGAGCCTTCTCCAATTTCTCTATTTCTGAAGAGACTATAAAACTTCTGAAAGGTACTATCAGTTTTTTAAAAAAATTTAATTATTATTATTTTTGGGGTACTGGGATGGAACCACTGAACTAAATCCCCAGCCCAAGGTATTATCAGTTTTAATGGATATGTACTTAGAAATGTATGACTGGATTTTATAAACTTGCATGCCTTTTCTGACCAAAAGGAGATTGTAAAGAGAAATAGCTCTTCTTGAATTGCAGTTATTTCTATATCATCCTTTTCATTAGTTTTTAATTGTAATAACTGTAATAAGACTCATGCCAGGTGTAGTAGCACATGTCTTAATCCCAGCATTGGGAAGGCTGAGGCAAGAGGATTGCTGTGAGTTCAGAGCCAGCCTCGGCTACATAGTGAGTTCAAGCCTAGTTTGAACTACAGAGCAAGTCCCAGTCTCAAAAAACAAAACAAAATACCATATATATCCATGAAAAGTTGACCAATTTTGTTATAATTCTTGTTTGGTGTAGGAATAACTGTAAATGTCACTAGGAAGTATATTTTTAGGTATATATAGAAAAAATAAGATTGTCATTTTCAAATGAATGTATTTTTTTCCTGGTGATAGTCTCAAAGAAATATTTTAATGAAATCTCATTTTACAGGTCGAGGGGTAACATATCTCTTTCCTATTCAAGTTAAGACCTTTGGTCCTGTATATGAAGGAAAAGATTTAATTGCTCAAGCACGGACAGGAACAGGGAAGACATTCTCTTTTGCCATACCCTTGATTGAAAGGCTCCAAAGAAATCAAGAAACAATTAAAAAAAGCCGCTCACCAAAGGTAACTAACTGTTATAAAGGAGTAAAAGCTGTAAACATTGCTCTTATGGAAAAGAATAGGGAAAAATATACTAGTCTTTTTTTTTTTTTTTTTTTTTTTTTTTTTGTATGCTGGGAATTGAACCCAGGGCTTCTTGCATTATAAGCTCAGGCTCTACCACTAAGCTACAGCCCTGAGTGAGTATACTAGTCTTAAAGTCAGATATTCCAGAGAGAGAAAAGGTTGCCCTGTGACATAAAGTAAAAATCTGAGTCCTAAAGCAAAAATATTGATTTGTTTTGTTTTTTTTGAGACAGGGTCTCACTGTGTAGTTGAGATTCACCTGGAACTCATTATGTAGCCCAGGCTGGTCCTGAATTTACAGTGGTCCTTCTGCCTCCGCCTCCCAAGTGCTGGGAGTATAGGCTTGCACCACCATGCCCAGCTAAAAATATTGATTTTTTAACATAAGGAAATTTCAAGCAAAACTGAAGTGGAATTGTTATTGCATATGAATTTAATGTGCACGGAGTGTCATAGATGTCTTTGATAACTTTGTGTATTGTGAAGACAGAGTGTCTTATTTTAGGAGTATCTATACTTTTGTCTGTGTGTGTGTGTGTTTGCAGTTTTTGGGGTTGAACCCAGGGCCTTTGCATTGAGCTGTCCCTCCAACCCTTTCTTTATATTTTGAAACAGGTTCTCACTAGATCTCTAAGTTGTCCAGGCTAGGCTTAAACTTGTGATCCTTCTCAGCCTCCTAGAGTGCTGGTATAGGCATGTGCACCATACACAGCATATTTAGGGACTCTTCTCTCTTTTTAAAAGTTCTGACCTTTGCTTTTAAACAAAGAATTTTCTTAAGAGACATTAATTTATTTGGTCATTCAGTAAATATTCAGCATCATTTATGTCCCTGGTTGACTTTGTGTGAAGACTGGTATTAAAATGATATTGGTAGTTTCATGATATCGGTGGTTTCTATATAATGTGGAGTTCTGAAGATTCGTCTTAAATTATAAATAGTAAAAACCAACTAACCAAGTGCTAGTAGAATTTTAGTCTAAAGTTTGACCTTTTTAGAACCTGTACTCACTTCAAGGTTTGTAAAAGTGAGGAAGAAAAAATTACCATCATAATTTGAAAAGGTATGTGTCTAAAATTGTTTTTTAAAAAGCTACAAATGGAATTATGGTATGAAAGCAAATTCACATGTTTATAAATAGAATTCAGGGCTGGGAATTTAGCTCAGTGGTTCTGCTGCCTGCCTTGCAAGCACAAGGACCAAAGTTCAATCCCTGGTTACAAAAAGAGAGAGAGAACAATGTTTCATTTGGGCCGGGGATTTAGCTCAGTGCTGCCGCGGCCTCCCTCATAAGTACCAAATTCGATCCCTGGTAAAATTAATTAATTAAAAAAGAATTCAGTCATAATACCATTGGATCAGCTATCTCAAATCATGTTGGCTGTGTTGGCACATAGGGCAAGTCTTTTTTGGAGAGTTCTGTTCTTGGGTGAAATTAGAAAAGACTGCAAGTAATACAAAGTGGAAACAATGCCAACTTCGCCTTTTAGCTGTTGATCTTGGGCAAACCTTGTAACTTCTCTAAAACTATTTCTCATCTGTAGAAGGAGCATACTTCTTCACAGGGTTTTTGTAAGAATCAAATTAGATAATTTCTGAAAAGCACTGGTGCTTAGCAGATGGTGAACATCCATTCATTTAACCAGTGTGTTTTAATTATCTATTCTGTGCTAGGTCTTGAAGTGCAAGGAATACAGTGACCCACCTAATGGAGCTTACATTTTAGTGGTTGAGGTAGTGTCAGCAAAGATGTAAAATACAAATCTCATTGGTGGCATAAGTGCTGAAAAAGCAAAAAAAAAAAAAGTTAGAAAAGGGCTACAAAAAGATGTTTGGGAACCTCACAGAGGAAATGGCTTCTGTAGAGACCTGACAAAAGTAAGATATAATAAATATAAGCTATTGTTCTTGATTTCTTTGTTTTCTTTTGGCTTTTTTTTTTGTGTGTGTGTGCTAAGATCCAACCCAGGGCCTTGTGCATGCTAGATAAGCACTTTATCACTGAGATATCCCCCCAGCTTTGTACTCTTGTCAGAAACATATGAGGGCCTGGAATTGAGCTCAGTGGTTCCGCCACCTGCCTTGCAACAAGGCACAAGGACTCAAGTTCGATCCCCGGTACCAAAAAAAAAAGTAAAAAGTCCCCTAAATTGAATATACACTTAAGTGTTGAGCTTTTTTTGGCTATTTTGTACAGTTTAACCCACAGTTTTTCCATTGAGCCACATCCTGAGCCCTACGTACATTTCAGAAAAGTGCTTTTGTTTTTTAAACCTTTTGCTTAGGTGCTTGTTTTGGCTCCAACAAGGGAACTGGCAAACCAAGTAGCCAAAGACTTCAAAGATATAACTAGGAAACTCAGTGTGGCGTGTTTTTATGGTGGAACATCATATCAAAGCCAGAGTGAGTAAATGTGTATAAAAATGTATTTTTTACTTAAATCTAAAGAAATAATGTGAAAGTATTTTAAGTTTTACATTTTACTGGCATTTTTCTCCCCTCGCAGTAAATCATATTAGAAATGGTATTGACATCTTGGTTGGGACCCCTGGTCGTATCAAAGACCATCTACAGAGTGGCCGCCTGGATCTTTCTAAACTGCGCCATGTTGTACTTGATGAAGTGGATCAGATGTTAGATTTAGGTTTTGCTGAACAAGTCGAAGATATTATCCATGAATCCTACAAAACTGGTATATCCTAATTTATAACAAGCACATGAGCAGTTGTTTGATGTTAAAAGCTTATGAGATTTTTATTTCATAATTTTGATTATATTGTCCTTTGGTGTTCTAATAAAACTAAAGTTAATTTGGTATCTATTTCTCCCTGAGGAGAATGACAGCAGACTTTAAATATTTTTAGTGCTTTCTGTGCTTTTTCTCTTGTATTTTATAGTTTGATTTAGTAACTCATTTTACTGACTTCTTTGTTCATTGCTTTCTTTCTCACTTTTTTTGAGTTGTTTTCTTCATATTGTCCCCTAGTTTTGAAAGCTGAAAGTTTTGATAGTTGCAGTAAAGTCTGTATGTTAAAAATTCACCCCAAGTTTTGAATTTTTCACTGTTTCTGTGAAGCTTGTGGTGATTTTTAAGAGCTGACTGCCTCGTGAGATATTAAGAAAACATTTGAATTCTTTTTGTTTATTTAAGATTCTGAAGACACTCCTCAGACTTTACTTTTTTCTGCAACTTGCCCACAGTGGGTATACAAAGTTGCAAAAAAATACATGAAATCCAGATATGAACAGGTTGACCTTGTTGGAAAAATGACTCAAAAGGCTGCAACTACTGTGGAAGTAAGTAGCTTTTCAACATGATAGATTATAGCTTTTAGTGGTACTGTACTTATTTTTGAAATTAATTGAAGTTAAATTGCAGTTTTGGGTTTTGTTTAGGCCTAAGTTTTCTTATATCTATATCTGCCCTTAGCCAGTCAGATATTTATGTATTTCTCAGTCTGAAACTGAGGGCCAGAATAGAATAAATAGGAAACAAAATCATATGAATGAAGAAGTCCTAATAGGCAATCCATAAAGAACACTAGAGACGGGATGAAAGTATTTATTTACTTACTTATTTATTTATTTATTTATTTGAGAAAGAGTCTTGCTGTAATTCAGGCTGGCTTGAACTGTGTAGCCCAGGCTGGCCTTAAACTCAGCAGTTCTCCTGCCTCAGCCTCCCAAGATCTGGGATTATAGGCATGTGCCCCACTTTAAGTATCTAGAATGTGACAAAGAAGGCATTTCATATTGTCTAGAAAAGAAAAATGCTATACCAGGAAAATTTCTGAAATAACTTAAAGCATGTATAAGTGAACACATGCTCTCTTAAGAAAAGGAAGGCATTTTTTTAAAGACAAGAGTCTCACTTTGTAGTTCAGGCTGTCCTTGAACTCATGGTGATCCTTCTGCCTCAGCCTCTCAAGTACTTTGGATTACAGGTATGTGCCACCCCAAGTGGAAGGCTTTGCTTTTCTTTCTTTCTTTTCTTCTCTTTTCCCTTTCCCTTTCCCTTTCCCTTTCCCTTTCCCTTTCCCTTTCCCTTTCCCTCCTTTCCCTCCTTTCCCTCCTTTCCCTCCTTTCCCTCCTTTCCCTCCTTTCCCTCCTTTCCCTTCTTTCCCTTTTCATCTTTTTCTTTTTTTGGTTCTTTGAGACAGGGTCTCACTATGTAGTTGACACTGACCTGGAACTATGTAGCCCAGGCTGGCCTCAACTCACAATGATCTCCTGCCTCTGCCTCCCAAGTGCTGGGATTACAGGTGTGTGCCACCACGCCCAGCTCTGGAAGGCTTTTCTAAACATAGAAGTCAGAAGAAATGGCCAAGTGTGGTGGTGCACACCTATAACTACAGCTCTTTGGCAGGCTGAGGCAGGAGGAGTATAAATTTGAACCCAGACTGGACTGTTTAGGGATTTAACCATATTGTTATCTCAAAATAAAAGGTACCGGAGATGTTGTAGTCCAGTGTGGAGGCCCTGAGTTCATTCTGTAGTCACACACACACACCACACATGCACACACGCACATCAGAAGCAACCAAAAGGGAAAAGGTTGATAATGTGACTATGAAAATTAAACCAGGCTGGGAATTTAGTTCAGTGGTTCGGTTCCTGCCTTGCAAGCTCAAGGACCCGAGTTCAATCCCCGATACCAAAAAAAAAAAGAAAATTAAACCAATATTGTTTTAAAATAAATAAATGGTAGTATTTATAGTATTTATGACTGTCATATTTACCATATATGTCACTTTTCCAAATAACAAATATTTGTATGTATATAAAGGGGAAAATTAGCCAAATAAATAATAATATGATCTAATGAATAAAAGGCAGCGGTTAAAAACATTGAATTTCAGTGAGAGAAACTCAGTTACATGGGATTGATTTCCAGTGCTGCAAAACAGAAACAAATTATAGAATTATGCTATTAAAAAATATATATATATTTAGGGCCGGGGATTTAGCTCAGTGGTTCTACCGCCTCCCTTGCCAAGCACATGGTCCCAAGTTTGATCACCTGTACCCCCCAAAAAAAATTAATAAAGTAAAATATATCTATAGTGCTAAATAGTCTTAAGTATTTATGTAAAGTACAAAAATAGATCTGAAAAACATCAAATAATTTCTGGGAAAGACAATTACAGTGCTGGATAATCAAAGGAAGCTTTGTTACTTTGTAATAGTTACAGGATTTACAAGAATGTAAAATGTACTGGTAAAAACTAGTTATGAAGATACTCTTATACATTCTTGTACCTGATACATTCTTTAGGCATTTGAAACATCCCAGTCATAATTTCATGTTCATGTAATTGTATATACACCTAAAGGGTCAGTAAAGGCTTTTAAAAAGACAAAACAAAAAATGCAGTTATTTTTACAGGACTTTGTTTATTGTTTTTTGCAGGGCCACCTGCATGCAAGCACACAGGTGTTTTTTAGCTTTATTGAACCCAGGACTTTTGCACTGAGGTACATTCTCAGTTCTTTTTCTGTTTTTTATTTAGAGACAGGGTCTCACTACATTGCCCAGGCTGAGTTTAAACTTGTGATTCCTCTATCTCAGCCTCTTGAGTAGCTGAAATTACAGACATGCACCACAACATCCGCTTCTTTGTTTCATTCATTTATTTATTTGTTAATGGGGATTGAACTCAGGACCTTGTGTATCCCATTTTATTTTTTGGTTCATTTCAAATTGCAGAAGTCAGTATACTTCCTTATATGGATAATATGTGTATCTTAAGAGGAAAAATATTTGCAGTTTTTGAAAAATTGAGCTTAAAAATTAGGCATGATAGCAAGTACTGTAATCCTAGCACTCTGGGATGCTGAGGCAAAAGGATCACAAATTTGAGCCCATCCATGGGAATTTATTGAGATGTTGTCTCAAAAAATAAATAAATAAAGTGACTTAGACACATAGCTCAATGCAAAGACTTTGGTTTCAATGTTTTTGAGCCTCAGCCATGTAATCAATTTTTAAGACAAGGCTATGTGCAATGAAATAAGTACATAGTTGCTTAGTTTTGACAAATTAATAGATGTGTATAACACAAACCATTGTCAAAATACTGAATATTTTTATCCTATCAGCAAGTTCCTCTTATAGTCCTCCCTATCCAAACACAGCCATGATTCTGATTTCTCCACCATAGATTAGTTCTGCTTATTCTAGAACTTTATATAGGTTATGCTCTATGTATTTTCCTGCAAGGCTTAATTCATTTGACATTTTTAAAAAATTCATCTCTATTTTTCATGTTATCAAAAGTTTTAAAAATTGCTTTATGCCATTTGTTTTTTGCTTGTATTTTGTTTATCCTTTCACATATTGATATGTTCGTTTATTTATTGTTTTTAAATAGAAAGTTCCTGTTTTATAGTCTTCCAGGAAGTCCAGCTTGACCAGATAGAAAAAACTGTACGAGAGAAACCTTTTTTCAGTAGTTTTGACCAAACAGATATTTCACCTTTTTTTCCCCTAAGCATTTGGCCATCCAGTGCCACTGGTCTCAGAGGCCAGCGGTTATCGGAGATGTCCTTCAAGTCTACAGTGGGTCTGAAGGGAGGGCCATCATCTTCTGTGAGACCAAGAAGAATGTAACTGAAATGGCCATGAATCCACACATAAAACAGGTAATTGTCTTTGCTTGCTTTCTCTAATTGAGGCTATGGGATGAATCACTGAGCAAAAACTATCTTTTGTGGACCATACTTTGTTGTCTTTTCAAAATTGAGTGTAACTCAGAAAGAGGTTGTATCTAGATCTAGCCTTGTATGTCTTAAATCAGGGCAGATTTTTTTTTTTTTTTTTTTTTTAACAGCACTGGAGATCAAACCTATGAATGCTGTACTACTGAGCTACATCCCCTGCACTTTTTAAAAATAATTTTGATACTGGATCTTGCTAACTTTCCTAGGCATGACTTGATCTCGTGACTGTCTGCCATAGTCTCCCTTAGTACTGGGATTATAGGCATGTGTCACTATACCTGGCTAAGACAGAAATTTTTTTTTCTTCTCGGTACTGGGGAACAAACACAGTGCCTTGTGCTTGTAGCGCAGGCATGGTGCCACTGAGCTAAATCCCTGGTCCTGTTTTTCCTTTTTGGGACAAGGTCTCAATATGCCTTGAACCTGTGGCGATCCTCCTGCCTAGTCCCCAGAGTGCTGGGATTACAGGCATGTACTAAAACCCTCAGCTCTGATAGAATTAATTAATTAATTATTTTCTGGTAATTATATCAAATTTAAGGCCTTGCGCTTGTGAGGCAGGCATGGCGCCAATGGGGTAAATCCCTGGCCCTTGATAGAATTTTTGGGGGTGGGATCAAACTTGGGACCTTGCGCTTGTTAGGCAAGTGGCAGAACCACTAAGCTAAATCCCCAGCTCCAATAGAATTTTTAAAAAAATAAATTTTATTGTGTATATTCGAGTTTTACAGCATGATGATAGGGGAGAATTCTGTTTTTGATAACAGGTTTTGTTATTTGTTTGTAATGAGGATTGAACTTAGGGCCTTTACTTGAGCTACATCCCTAACCCTCTTTTATTTTTAAATTTTGAGGTAGGTTCTTGCTAAGTTGCTTGGGCTAGGCTCGAATTTGAAATCTTTGTACTTCACCCTCCCCATAGTTAGGGTTACAGGTGTGTATCATCATGCCATCCCCAGCAGGTTTTTATTTTAAGGTCTTGAAAAATAGGATTGAGAAAATATAAAGATTAGAACAAAATTACTTTCTAGTATTTCAGAGTTGTGTTATAAGAATGAATCAGGGCCAGGGATTTAGCTTAGTGGTTCCGCTGCCTGCCTTGCAAGCACAAGGACCTGAGTTCAATACCCAGCACCAAAAAAAAAAAAAGAATTGTAACTATCTATACATATATCAGAAATACAAATAGCACAATGCTAATTTTTTATTTCATCTGTATGCTCACCCATTTCCTTTTCCACAATTAATTTTGATACAAATGCTAGATATCATTGCATCTTTAAATATTTGTTTTGTTTTGTTTTTGGTACTGGGGATCAAACTCAGGACCTTGCACTTGTGAGGCAGGCACAGTGCCACTGAGCTAAATGCCTGGCCCTTACATCTTTAAATATTTAGATATACATCTCTAAAATAAAAGGATTAAACCTAGGCATGGTGGCACATGCCTGTAGTGTTAGCACTAAGAAGGCTGAGGCAGGAGGATTATAAGTTTGAATCCGGCTTGGGCAACTTAGTGAGACCTTGTCTCAAAAAAAAAAAAAAGAAGAGGAGCTGGGATATAGATCAGTACAAAGGCCCTAAATTTGGTCTCCAGAATCACACACAAACACATACACAGACACCGCCCCATTTAGAAACAAAGGACCAGTGTTTTTAACAGTAATTAACACTATCAAATATTAGTGTTCAAGTGTTTGTCTTATAAATGTTTTTTTATTTTTATTTTTTTCTGGAATTTGTATCCAAATAAGATTCTTACATTGTATGGTTTTGTCTTATTTAATGTGTGGATTTCTCCTTTGTTCTTTCTTGTAGCTTTTGTTGTTGTTTATGGAACTGAGTTTCTTTAAAACTTGTGTATTGCTTTTCCATGATATCATTTAATGTTTCCTACTTCTATGTTTCCTGAAAATTGAGGTTAGATTATTAGTTTGTTCAGGGCAGTGGTGGCAAAGCTATGGCAAGCGTATGACAGTGGCATTGAAAGCTTTGAAGGGTTCGCTATCACAGGTTTAGGGCACAGTTACTTCATATGAGGAGCAAGAGGCATATGGTGTCTAGTTCTTTTATTCTCTGATGCTAACATCCATTGATAATGCCATCAGTGCTATGTCTCTCTAATCATTTTTGTTGTATATAACTTGTTACCTACTAGATTGCTGAGAAAGGGCTCCTGGAGATGATATTGCCTAATAAGAATAGCATGTTTCCGACTTTATACCTGAAACTTAATTTGGCTGAGTTTTCTTTTTTTTCTTTTTTTGGAGACAGGGTCTTGCTATATAGTTCAGGCTGGCTTTGAACTATGTAGCCCAGGCTGGCCTCCAACTGCTGGTGATCTTCTTCCTCAGCTTCCCAAGTGCTGGGATTATACCACCCTTGCTTGGCTTGACATTTCTTTTCTTTAGTGTTTTCCACTATATTTGTAATAAAGCATTTACTATAAAAAATCAGCTGCCAGTCTGACTCTTTTGCTTATAACTGATTTCTTTTTGGGGGGGGGTACTAGTGATTGAAATCAGGGCCTTGTGCTTCCCCGGCAGGTGGCGGCACCACTGAGCTAACCCCCACCCCGCCCTCCTT